GGGGACTTTTCCTTCTCTCCTCTCTGCACAGGCTCTGCTGTTGTTAAAAGGTTTCTCAAGTACTCCCTTTCAGTCCAAAATAAATTATAGTCTTTTTCCTCAAGAAAGACAAGGTACCCTAAAATAAATTCTGGTGCCAGCTCTTACGGGTCATGGATTTCATCTCATTATATGTGCATAATCATGTATTGAGGTACACACAGTGCATAGGGTACTGGAGGTAGAGTGGCTAAATTGGGCCTAGGCACTGGTTGCAAAGAGGGCTCCTTGGGCAGTGGGTCATAGGTGTGGACAGACAGCACGCAGAAGTGTGGGGCCAATTGGTGAGGTGAAGGTGCAAGGTCAGGTTGCCAGGGGGTCCCAGAAGAAGGCAAGGCAGACAGTCCAGGGGTGGGTCAGATATAGCACAGTCTTTTTAGGAAATGCAGCTAAAAGCCCAGCCACATCCAAGGTGTTGGCCAGGTGTTTCATCCCAGAACCCTCTGGCTTGTTTGACCCCAGCTTGGTCACCCAGTGTGGGGTAGAACCCCACAAACTATGTGCTCCCTTTAAACTCCAGAAGCAGGGGGACAGACTTCTATGGAAGGAAGCTCTGTTGATGACCCAGTATCCCTGGTCAGCATGGAACCAGGCCTGGGGATTAGGGCTTAAAAACCCATCTCCAGTGACTCTGACCATGCGGCTGTTAAGCCTGCAAAGAAAGGGTCAAAAACCTTTCTGCAGAGATACGACTAGGGGTTGATACTCCTCCAGGTTGCCTAGAAACAGAAGCCATAAACCTGCTTTCTGTAACACAATGAGTGCATAGTATAACTTCAAGGTTTACTCCCCTCTTGGTAGTCTCTAGTCTCTAGACATACTCCCTTTTGCAGCTGTCTCAAGGTTTCAAACTTTGTGTCTTTTTGAAGGTTGAACTAACTTTAGAAAAATAATATGAATGCTCTGCTTATTAATTAATAAAGTGTATGTGACCAGCCTACTATAAAAGGTGGTCATGAACAATAAAGCTTTGCTACTTGCCATCAGCAGGTAGTCTCTCTTTCATTATAATAATTCCAGATGCGAGACTACACCTGTGACGAAGCTGTCTGTCTCTCACGAAACCCTCACACAACAACCCAGTTCAGACACTACATCCTAGTGTCCTAGATGAACCCCATCTGACCCTACATGGCTCTTCTGAGTTTGGGGGGATACCAGATTAAACCCTGCATAGGGGTTGGGTGCAGTGGCTCATACCTGTAATCCCAGCACTCTGGGAGGCTGACGTGGGAGGATCGCTTGAGCTCAGGAGTTCAAGACCAGCCTGAGCAAAACTGAGACCCCATCTCTATTAAAAATAGAAAAACTAGCCAGGTGTTGTGCTGGATACCTATAGTGGCAGCTGCTTGGAATGCTGAGAGAGGAAGAGCACTTGAACCCAAAAGTTTGAGGTTGCTGTGAACTAGACTGACACCATAGCATTCTAGTCTGGGCAACAGAGTGAGACTCTGTCTTGAAAAAAATAAAATGTATTGGCTCTAAGAATGAGAAAGCTAATGGGTCTGTTTCCAAAAGCAGCTCAAGGTAAAACCAACACCAAAATATAAGTGTAAAGAAGTCCAAAGGAGTTCCGAGATTTTCAATAATGACTACTTTAAGTCTATTTTAAAAACTATTGGATTCCTTTCCTGTTATCTATTATTTCTTTTTGTCTTTGTCTAATGTATAACCCAATACTGGACTTTTGGTAAAAATGTAATGTATCATTTGTTCCCTAAAGCTGCTACTTTACTAATCAGAGTTCTTAGATAATAGGGACTGTTAGAAATTTCAAATTCAATGACTCCTTACCAGAAGTGTCTTTTGTTTCAGTGTCAATGTCCAAAGCCTTTCTAAATCCCACATCACCATTAGCATAGTTTCTTTAGCATAAGATTCTTACAGGGCCTTGTGGTCACTTAATCTTATCAGATACTATTATCTGCAAGTATTTATGTAACTCCAAGTAAGTGGTGAGGATGAATATGGACTTATTCCAGGGTATTTCTTAAATCTTTAACAATCAAATCTGAACCTACATTTATCTTCATATGCACTTCCTAAAAGATGGCACACATCCACACATGGCTACCTGTGGGTTACTTCTGGATGGCTCCAGGCAATCAATGTTTATTGTGATTAATACCTCATTTACCAAAAGGTTGTTATTGACAACAGTTAGTAGGACAATATGTTGGTCTTCTGTTAACCACTTCTTTTTCCAAAAAATTGGATTTATTGTTAGAGTTTATTTCAGAATCTCAAAGAATTTGACTCGGTGAAAATATCTCTACACCAGCACTACATGGCTTTCTTTTAACACAATACTTAGATTGTAACTGTCCTCACTAAGAAGATGCTGAGCAGTGGACAAGTATTTAGTCACTAGTAACTCCATCGAACACAACTAATTGAATGAATCCAAACTGGACCTTGGTAGCTAGCTAGTTCAATGCACTCATTTAACAGATGGGGAACCTGAGTCATTGAGACTACTGGCTTACCCATGCTGCACAGTTTGTTGTGAGCAGAGTGGTAAGAAGTGCACTGATCTACTCATCTATCTTTTCAAGAACTTCCTACCACATTGTATAGCTTATCCCAATCAATGTTTAGGGTCCACAGAAATAGTGTTTAGTTTTTTCTAACTGGCTTGAGTTTTCAGACAATGCTTTGATATTCATAATTTTATACATATGTAGAAAGTTACATCAGCACTGGAAATATTTCTCTTCCCCCTAGATTTTTTACTCTGCCTCAGTTAAAAAGTTCATCCATCTCTTGGGCTTACAGTGATTCTTTAATCAAAATCCACTGATGATTTTGGAATAACTCTACATTTTCTGGAATCATGGTCTCTGCATGGTAGCTACTAATAGTTGTACAGTACTTCAAGATGATTTCTCTTAACTTGCCACTATGGCCAAGAGAATTAATTACTCTAAGCCTACTGCTAAAGGCTGTCCTTTTGCTTGGAGGGGACCCGTGGTTTGAAAGAACTGATTGTGAAAAACTCACTGAGGGGAAGGAGCTAGAAAGGAAGCCGGCCTTGCCACAGGCAGCTGCAGGTCCCCAGGGCAAGTTTAGCGTCTGCTCAAGTCTGTGGGAGTCACTGAGGACAGAGTGTGAATGACTGAGAGACCTTGTGTACTTCAGATGCGGATAATAAATGAATGTATTGTGCTTCTCAAATGCTCAATGCGCTGGCTTAGATTTTTATCTTTTGGGGGGAAACATCCTCATTTGTTTTAAATGTCCAAAGATGTTGAACCTCATCTGCATGCCTAGCACTCAAGGTTTAACCCAAAGATACTTAAGGTGTTGGAAGGTCCATTTCCCTGTTCAGTCAGAGTCTGGCTATCCTCCACTCCCAAGGCATTGCAGTCTTTCCCTGACTATCTCAGGATCAATAAAATGGCTTGGTCATTATGGGCCAGTACACAATTTGAAACGGTTACCTGGCCATGGACAGTGGCCAGCTGTCTTCAGTCTTGTTTACTGGAAGGGAAAAACGCGAGGAGCTTTAGGCTGAATATCCAGGTTGTTTATGGACTGTGTTGTGCTTCTGATTTGCCAGAGCAGGAGCTAGCCATGAAATTCTGATAGAGCGGCTATGAGTTGGCAGGGGATTGTGAGTGTGGCTGCCTGCACGTATGAGGACCATTGGTGAGAAGCTGAGAGTGTCGCATGAAGTGCATGAGGCATTGCATGTGTTTGTGCATGTGTGTGTGTATGTGTGTGTGTGTGTGTGTGTAGAGGAGGCAGTGCACAGGGGAGAGGTCAGCCAACTTCTAGCTCTAAGTTCTTCCCTTCCATGAGAATTCATTCTCATATTTTGTAGCAGACCTGGAGGGCCAGCCCTTCTCTGGGTCATCTTCCTTGTTGACCACTAAGCCTCTGTAGGAAACAAGAGCACAAGTTGTGATAGGGTCTCACGGCCCTGCTGTCATCTAGATCTGTCACCTTCGGGCACAGACAGGACCTCTTCCCCTCCTCACACACCTTCAGCACTTCCTCCTAACATGTCCAAAGGAGCCGTTCATGCAACAGCTGTGCCTTCCCTGTGGCTGCACCTGACCTGATGGGAAGGATGTGGCAAAGAGATAAGGCTGGGATGTGCTGGTTCTGCCTTCCTCCCCAGGCAGGAAGTGGGGAGCATGGCACAGACTTCTAACTCTTAGGCTTGGGCAGCCTTCTCTTTGAATAGTGTTCTTTTCCCAATCTGGTCCCAGGTCCAGGGGGATCTGTGGCAGATCCATTGCAGTAAGGGTTCCAACTGTACCTGCCTCCTTGCATTTATGCCCTCTGTTATATGGCTTTCCATCAAGAGATGAAGTTTATTTGCCCACCCTTGCATCTGGGATGGGTCCCACATCTTACTTTGGCTGATAGAAGGTGGCAAGAGGGACGATATGCCAGTTCTGAGCCTTGATCTTAAGATTAAGATGCCTCGCTCACTCTCTTGACTCTCGAATGGCCCTGTGAACAAGGCTGGGCTAGCCTATTGGAATAAGGAAAAATGTGGCCCAGTCACCCTCCTTGGGCTCCGCTGAGAGTTTCCAGCCCCCAGAAGAAGACCTGCCTAACTGGGCCTAGCCTAAATTAGTGACCCACAGAATTATAAGCTAAATTAATGATTATTATTTTAAGCCACTGCATTTTGGTATGATTTGTCTCACAGACATAGATAACTTGTATAGCCCCAGTGGAAGGAGGTGAAAAGGAAGGCTTGAGCCATGTCGAGGATGGAAGCAATAGCCAAAAGTTGCCTCAGCAGCCAGATCCTACCTTGAAGAGCTTCTGGAGATTAGGCAGGGAAAGCCAAGGTCCCAGAAGAAGACGGGGTGAGAAGGAACATGGGGCACAGCTGGCAGGAGGGCGAAGGACCCCTGGTTACCCCCAGGAATAAATACAACTGTAATAATGGTAAGGAGCTGCTTTCTGCATGTGCTCTTTCCGATACTCCCTTTTTCTAGACTTTAGGCATTGGCTGCATCACTGCAGTGGGCTGTCCGGGATATAAAATCCTGATTCATTAGCATTAAGTCTCCAGGGAATTCAGCTAAGCGCAAAAGACTTCGGTTTGTTAGGCCTGTGATGGACCGTTCCCGCTTCTTTTTGGAGATAAATGGTTTGCAATCTTTTGCATAATATGCCAAGAACTTTTTTGGTTCTTCTGACTTGAAAACTACATTCATTTTTATTTCTCGTCCTTCTGTGGTTTTGCCCTCTACATCCTCTTTCTCCTCTTGATTAGCATTACTGTAATAATTGAGGTCATAATTGTCCCCTTGCCTAGTCTTGTCTTTTGCCATTGGGCTCAGGGCCCCTCCAGATGGAGATAAGGACCGTCTTAATCTTTCGATGTTGGGTAACAGCCATTCGTTTCCCGGGGCTCGGGCAGTGCGCATGCGCTCTACGTGCTTGAGGATGTTCGTCTTCTCTCGCTGTGGCATTTTAAACTCCTCTCGGGGCAGAATCACCTTCGCTGTCCATATTTTTTCTTGGGTTCCGCAAGGAGTACACACAGAGGAATATTGGTTTTTATATTCCATTGCCCGTTTATAGTCTGGAGACAGCAACTGCAGTTTCCTGAGCATTTTCCGTTCCTCCTCTTGTCTGTAAGCCAAAAGCCTTCTTGCTGCTGTGGTGTGAACGCCACCTAGACGCTGGAAATGGGAAGAGGATGGTTAGAATCTCAGTGGCACAGGGATAGGTGGCACCCATGGAAAGAATGGGCTAGTGGCTGATCCTATCACCACTGCGGAGAGTGTTCCAGCCCCATGTGATGGGAAAGAGGGTGGACCTTTGAAGTCAAACAAGCATAAGTTCAAAACCTGGGTCTCCTCTTAGCTATTATGAATTCAGAAGAATGTTATTGGCATGAGAGGGTCTCTGTGAGGCCTCAACAAGACAACATCTGTGTAAAAGCAAGTGCAAGGTAGGGGCTTAAGGAATGACAGTCATCATCATTTGCTATCACTTATAGTTATATTCCTAATTGGGATTTAAAGGAAAGGGTATTCTGCTGTATAAGTGTAAAAGCTGCTAGCAGATGCAGCCAACCTGAGTCCACTGTTTGGGTGACTTCTCTATTGCTAGTGGTTTTGTACCTTTGCGTCTCCCTAACTAGACTGACTGGCTTACGTGGAGTGTCTCTGTGTGCAAACGTCAGGGCACTTACTAGGATCTCCTTTTCCAAGGGAGAGTATTTCCCGAGGGCAATGCGAGGGTCTGATGTGCAGAGTTTGGTCCATATCCTGGAAAGCAGAGAGGCAGGGATATTAGAACTCTGGAAACAGTCTTTCTAGTTTTTCCTCCTTAGATGGAAAACCTCACAATGGGAGAATCTACATTATCCAGGCTGAGACTACCAGAGATAGGGGTTTCTGCAGCCCCCAGGCAGGCTCCTCGATTTGGCCTCCTGATTTGAATGGACTGGACCAAAGTTCAGGTCACACTCACCCCAATGGGAATACAGAAGATAGATCCTCTTTGCAATACAGGGAGTCTTCACCATGAAAGGAAGAGCTGGTGTTAAATATTCCAACTGTTTTTTCATTCTTCTTATTTGACTTCCCCTCTACCGTCTTCCTTTCTTGGGACCTTGGACTTCTAGCCCTTTGCTTTCCAATCTTCTGATAGACATTTTCCCATTCTCTGATCATACTCTGGCAATAGGCTTGCAGCTGGGATGGGAGGTGTTCATGCCTGGAGTTTGTTTCTAAGACAATTTAATGGGAACCCAAGGGACAGTCACAGACATTTTTCGCATCATAACTAGCCTACTTGGGGGCTATTGTGAGGTCTGAGTTTAAGGCATTAAATGATTCCCTGGGGTGAAATGGACACACTACGACACTCCCAGCATTGGAGTTTGGAGGGAGAGAATGGGCAGAAAGTGAGTCTGGGAGGAAAGCTGACCATGTTACTGCTCCTGGAAAGCTCTGCAGGACCACTCTGTTCTCATAAGATGAAGCCTCAGGAAGCTGAAGTCTGTCTCTCAGGTGTTTGCCTTCCTCCTGTCCCTTACAGCCCCTCAAGCTGATCAGTGCCACTCTATCCAGGTTCTCAGAACAAGCATCTACTGTTCACAGTCCCACTGTATCTGGAATATCTATCCGGCCCTTGATCACTTGCTTGTCTCCCAGGGCCCAGCTCAATGGCTGCTTCCTCTGAAGTCCTCCTTGAAGAACAAGTCACCCCTTTGTCCATGTTCTCATAGCACCTCCCGTGTCATGCTATAGTGCCACGTCACATGGTGCCTTAATTGCTCAACAAGTCTATCTCTCCTTCCATCGAAAGCAGGTGCCAACAGCATCTTATTCTTCTTTGCAGTGTAGTTCTGTAGCATGGGGCCTAGTGTAGCAGACACTCAGTCTGCTGACTCAATAAACAGTCATTGTCCTGGGTCTCTGGCTAAAGGTGAGGTCAAGAGCAGTGCTGGTGGGCATGGATGTTGTCACACTTCTATAGAAGGTAAGTTTGCAGTATATATCAAAAAGTGCAATTGCATTCTTTGACCCAATTATGTGTACAAATTAAAATATGGGTATGTACAAGGTTAGTCATGCAACTTTGTTTGGGGTGACAGCCCTAAGGGTAAACTCAAGTGTCCATTGATAGGGGATTGGTCAGAGAATTATGGTTACCCATATGATAGAATACTATAGAGGAGTATAGGGCTGTAGGATAAGGAAGGAAGGTCTTTGTTTATATGAAAATATCTCCAAGAAATATAGTTAAATGCAAATAGCCAGTTCCAAAAATACACAAATTATAGACTACCTATCCTCTTTGGGGTAAAAAAAGTAAGCATGTATATTTATATTTGCACAAAGAAATCCTGGGACAATATACAAAAGACTAATAAAAATACTACATAATTGACAGATGAGGAAGTGGTGGAGATGAGCCTTTTCATTGTATATACAATAATATTATCTTGAATTTAGAACTATGTGTATGTATTATGTATTTAAAAAAGGTAAATTTAAAAAGTAAGCAGCTCATGGAAGCAGACTGCATATTGTCTCTGACAAGTACTGGTCCTAAAACTATCATTTGCTTCCACCAGGAATCCACAGCATCTCTCGACTTTCCCATTTGTTCCACACTCAGCTGTTAATTAAGGGTGATCTCATACAAACCACGCCACACCTAGGGCATTGTGTACTCAACATAGTTTGTGACACAGTCAGTGAATGAATGATGATGGAATATTATACCCATCTAACATTAGGCCTTTGAATTTTTCCAATAATATGACATAATAAATGCCAAGAAAGCAGTTAGATAAGAGTATGAGGTTGGACAATTAAGTTTGCGAACTCATCCTAGAAAAAGTGCTACATACCTCGTTGCTGAACATCACTATGGTCACCTTCGATGTACCCCTCTTGGGAAGCTATGCACTGACACCTGTGCCTTCAAAGCAATTCTGGAACTTTTTTTCTGGGATGGGCATCAGAACTGTCATCATACAAGGTCTGACAATTAAGCTAGTGAACTCATCCTAGAAAACCTACCTCATTGCTGACCATCACTAGGTTCACCTTTGAAGTACTCTCCTGGGCCATATAGTGACCCTAGTGATAGTCCCCAATGAGGTAGCTGCCACTTTTTTCTAGAATGAATTCTTGAACTTGATTGTCTAACCTCATATAATCTGGATAGCATAAATATACAAATAGGCAAGAGAATAAAAAGACTAGAAGGGAATAAACAGAGACACCGAGCATACTTCTGGCTGTTGGTTTATGTGGCTATTCCAGCGCAGGTGGAGCACCAGTGGCCTGGTCAACTCCAGATATTTAGATGGAGAAGCTGTGGCCCAGTCACAATAGGCACAGGCAGGAAAAGTGCCTTAGTCAGGAACCAGCATCAGCAGAGAGGAGGATGAGACAGGGCACGCCTGGGAGAGGTGCTATGGATCTCAATGCTGTTGGAAAATCAATTTTTCTTACACTCAGTTACACAAACTTCCTTCTCCCCTCTTCTCACATCTCCATCTCCAGTCTTTTTGCTTTTTTTTTTTTTTTAAAGATATTTCCCTTCAATTATTTTTACATTAGTTTTTATTCTTGACTTTCACCTAGTTTTGTCCTTACTTTTGTTCACCATCGTTAACCTCATCTCCTGGTGAGTTTTCAAAGTCCCCTCTTTAGTCGCCTTTCATTTCAATCTTTTACTTTCAAAGCTTATTTCTTTGGCTTGTGGCCTTTATCACTTACATATATTTCATCTGTTCTTAATATTTTTAAACACTCTCATCTATCGTACTAGTCAGAGTTCTCCAGAGAAAAGTAAACAATAGGATGTGTATGTGTGTGTAGAGAAAGACAATTATTTATTTTAGGGAATTGGCTCACACAATTTTGGAAGCTGGCAAGTCCGAAATCTGTAGGGTAGCCGGGAGATTGGATGTCGCAATTCAAGTGCAAAGGCCATCTGAGAGAGGAATTTCACTTTGCTCAGGGATGGGGTCAATCTTTTGTGCTCCTCTAGGCTTCAACTGATTGGATGAGACCCATCCACATTAGGAAAGCAATCTGCTTTACTTTAAATCCACCAATTTAAATGTTAATCTCATCCCAGAACACCCTCACATTCATAATAATAGATCAGACCAAATACCCCCACTGAGTTGACATGTAAAACTAACTATCAAGCCTATTTATATTTATTAGGTTTTTAACGATTACCTTGCATGTTCTTATAGTTTTTTAACATCAGGCTTTTAGTATCTATACATAACTTGACCCATTTTTAAACTTTGTCTTAACAGAATCGTATAATATGTATTCTTTTCCATCTGTTTCCTTCCCCCTTAAGAAAACATGTTTTTACCACTCTCTTGATATGTTTAGTTTTAATGCATTCCTTTTCATTGTTGTTTGGCATGATTACGTTACGGCCTATAAAGGTCTCTTCTGCTGCTTACGTTTGGGTTGTTTCTGATTTGGGAGTTCTCATACATGCCTCCCTGTGGTAAGGTGCATGCTTTTCTGTTAGGTGTGTACGTGGGGATGGACCTGCTGGGTCATAGAGTATGTGCGGCTTCAATTACTAGAAAATTCTCACCTCTATTTGAAAGCATGTCTACCAACTCACAGTCCCTCCAGTAGCATCTGAGAATTCCTGTGGATACTCATCTTGCCGATAAGGGTGCATATGTCACGATACTTCATGTGGCTTTGATTTGCATTTTTCTGGTTATGAATGAGATCGAACACTTTTTCCACTGGACATTGAGATTACCCTTTGTGAAATGTCTATTCAAGTCTTTTGTTATTTTTTCTAGTTTTTGTTTTCTTCTTGATATGTAGGACTTCTCTTATATTCTTGACATGAGCCCTTTGTCAAACCCTCTCACCTGTTTCTGTAAATATGTTGCCAACATCTTCTCCTACCCAGTGACTCCCCTTTCTGCTTTTTAAAGGCATCTTTAGTGAAAGGAAGTTTTTATTTTTTTTCCAACTGCACTCTACTTTGTCAACCTTCTATTGACGATTAGTGCTTTCCGTGTCTTGTTTGAGAAATCATTTCCTAGCCCAAGTAGAAATGATACTCTCCCATATTTCATATTTTTATATGATAAGGATGGTCTCCTATATTACTCTCTAAAATGTTTTCTTTTGAACTTTCTTAACTTCCTGCCCACACTTATTAACTTTATTTTTCCACTTCTTTTTCCGTATATTTTTTGACTTACTTTTATAATGGCTATCAACAAGTATGTGTGTGCACAAGCAAGTAACACCCAAAAAGTTGGGGACTCCCCTCCTGTGCTCAGCTGTCCCTGCAGCCAAGCCTTAGGCTCTGTCGCCCTCTGGAGGATCTTGCAGCCCATTAAATGATAGTTCTCCCAGGACAGATCTGCCACCTCCCCCTCTCCAAAGCTAAGTGTCTATGTAGACAGCTCCCAGCCCTTGTTTGTGGGAATGGTGCACTTTCCTGACATTACATGATATCCAAGCCTTATATGAGGAGCTATGCACGTTAAAATCATAGTCCCCAATACAAATCCATGGGCTCTGGGCAGGGCCTGTGCGTCTCTAATGTTAACGGGCATAGAGCTCTCCTAGAGATCTTACAGCAAGGCAGAGTCTGATTTGTAGGTCTGGGGTAGGACCTAAAAAGTTGCACTTCTAACAAATTCCTGGGAGAATTCAAAGCTGTTGGTCCAAAAGAAACAAAATTGTGACTCTATGTGAGGCCACTGGATTAAAAGATACCACTCAAGATATGTCCTCACACTTCCACCAGTAGCAGCACCCCAGAAATGCAGACTCCCAAACCCTGCCTCAGAACTACTGAGCCACAATCCACATTTCAATTAGTTCCCCAGGATGAAATGCACAGCATGGAAAAGTATAAAGGCTGCTGGCCTGGGCAACACCCATGGCCACTGTCTGTGAGGAAGCAGGTGACACCTGCGGCCAGGACTACACCTGCACCATCCTGCCTCTGCCTTTTTCACATCAGGCTTTGGGATCTGTACATAAGTGGTTCCCAGCCTGAGCCTCTTCCCTTCTGGGCAATGAAAGGGTCTGTATTGTTTTCCTTCCTCGATCTCCTTCCTTTTGGCACAGGGGTTAAGGAGACACTGGTGCAGGCAGGGCTGTGTTGTAAATAGTTTCCTAGGAACAGGGTCAGCCATGCCCCT